TAAAAAAAATATGCTTAAAGAACATTTAGGTTGCAAAATCAAACACTGGAAAGTTAGAAAATGCCAAAATTAAGGAATACAGGATCACATTTTTTTTCCTGCACAAGCAGTGCATGGAGTGGACACGGGTTAGGTAACAAATTCATTTCTGTTAGGGGTGTAGGTTGTAGCCGTGTTGGCCAAAGGACATAGGCAGGCTAGGTTCTTTGGGTGAATCTGGTATCTTTTATTAGACCAACTTACATAGTTGGAAAAACTTCTTTTTTAAAAGCAAGCTTTCAGGTTTAAAAATGCTTTGTCAGGCTGAGGAAGTTTTAGTAAGTTGGTGTGTGCTCTTCCTGGATGGAATGAATAGTAAAGAAGCCAGAGGCTGGGCTGGTATGCATGCAAGACAGGCGGTCAGTGAAGATGTAAATTGAGGAGTCAGTGGGTGGGGGAGAGTCTGGGTCAGGGGGAGAGATGGGGGATGAGTAGTGGAGAGGTACCTGGAGACTCAGAAGTTAGGCAGGTTATAATGTGTTATAATTTTTAGTATCCAGGAGGCTGATGAAGTGGAGTTCATAGGCTCGTCTCTGAGAAGTGTTTTGTAAGTTCCCTTTGAGGGTTAGAACTGAGAGATTAGGGAGAGAGTGATTGTCCTGTGGCGAGAGTGGCCCCACAGGTAGTTGGGTGTTCTTGTCTTTGACAGATTTCCAGTGTGCATTCATTCTGGTGCGCAGTTGTTGTCTGGTCTCTCCTACGTATCAGGGCATTTGGTGCATTGGATGAGATGTATTACATTTCTGGAGGTGCAGCTGTAAGATGCAGGGATGCTGATGGCTCTGTTGTGGGGTGTAGTAATAGTGGGGGTGGTGGAGATGTGTTGGCAGGTTTTGCATTTCTTGTCATGCCATGGTCTGGATCCATTCAGTGTGTTCTGGGCCTGAGGAAGTTTGCTTCCAGGAAGAGCACACAGCAACTGCTGAAACTTCCTCAGCCTGACGAAGGGCTTTTAAACCCAAAAGCTTACTTTAAAAAAAATGTTTTTCCAACTATTTAAGTTGGTTTAATAAAAGATATCAGATTCACCCAAAGAACCTTGTCTGCCTTTCCATTAGGCATACAGATTTGAGTTGAATAAGAAAGCCTTCATTCTGACTTAAAAAAATAAACCTTTTCAGTCTCTGATTTTGCAACCTTTGCACTGAAACATGGAAAAAACCAACCGTCATCCCAGATCTTGTTCTCTCAGATGGACAAACTTTTAAACGCTAATTTCCAAAAATAAATTCTGAGGCAGAGACCCGACACAGAAAATTTCAGTGCAGTCACTGTCAGTTTGGCAGTTATGATGCAGAGGAAAAAGTGGAAAGTGTGAGCAACCTGAACCTAAAGACAATTTTATATCTACCCTAAAATGGTCCTACTAAGCCTTTTGAGCCAATCAAGTTAGAAAAAAAAATAGAAAAAAGCAAAAGTGAGCGGTAATTTCTGACAAAACAGTATTTTCCGAGACAGCCGCTACATTAGGAAAATGCTGATCCCAAGCCGTGTGTCAAATTTAACTTCTGTCCTTGTACAAATTTTGCTAAGTAAACCAGACAAGCAAAGAACTGATCACAAAGTTGTTGAAAAATGAGTAGCACAATGCTTTTCTTCTGTCCTTGTCAGATATGCCCGACACTTTAAACTGCAAAGGAGGCAGGGTGCGCACCAAAGCTGAGCACACAGTTGTGTTGTTCCAAGCGGGTATTCAAGGGTCCCAGGGCATCAACCTCGCCCTGAGCTCTCCCTGCTGCTGCCATGTCCTCACTGAGGGACGGCGGCCGGCACGGAGAAGGGCGCAGGCTAGGACCGCGCCCTCCTTTCGGTGCCGGCAGCCGCCGCCGCCTCCTCCCGAGGGACGCTGCCTAGCAGGCTCCACCGGGGCAGGCCCAGGCTTTCGCTCGACCGGTTTAGCAGCATCTCCGACGCGGTCGTAGCGACCTGCCTTCCAGACCCG